GTGCCAGACTATTTCTTGGCAGGGAGCAGTGACTTCCTGGAGTCTCGGGTCCGCAATGTGCCATTTTTCCAGATTTTTTTTTTTGCACAAATGAAACAAATTAGATGTAATGTGTAAATCTCAGCTTCAGAGACAGACTGATGCTAGCTCTTTCCCGTTGTTTTCAGTACTTTTACTAAGCTAAGCTAACCGGCTGCTCGTTGTCACTTTATATTTGCCATATCAACACGAGAGGTATTGATCTTCTCCACTAAGCAAACATATATATTTCCCAAAATGGGCTTGAAGAAGAACAGCAAAGACACACTGGATTCTGGATTCGTGCAGCATTGCTCAACATTTTGATTACATTAGTTCCTGCTTGCTCAGTAGATTCAAAGTAGCACCAGAATGAGACGAGAGTGCAGGTGTAATATAATCCCCCTCGACTGCTGTCAAGTCATGTCAGAACGATATGGCATTTGGTTTCTGCATTGTGCCAGAAACATGTTACTGAGCTGCAGAGTTGTTTTTTTCACATAAACACACATGGCTGTTGGTGGAGGTACAATCATTTGTCTTGTCTGGTGTGTCTGTACTTGGACAGGTTTATGGAGGATGGTAGCTCTAAAGACAGATCAGGTGATGGAGGAGAAACTTGAGGCAGCAGGGTTCATACCAGAATGGTTTATGAGATGTATGAGACACATGATCAAGTCTGCAAGGGGTGTGGGGCGAACACTAGCAACTTGCCGGGAAATTTTAAATGATTGATTATCAGTAAAAGTAACTGTATTGTGTTTATTAGTTGGCATTTTATCTGGAGATACTGTGCATGGCGTTGCTGAAGGACCTTTCAATGATATGTCCTACGTTTACTAGTGTGTTTTGGACCTAATTGGGTCACACTGTGAGTCCATGTGCCTTTTTTTAGATTATACCATCCCTCCCTGAAGCATTTCTTATCAGTTTTTAACCAAAAACAAGGAGACAGGGCAGAAGATTCACTGAAAGAGTGGCAACATTGAAAAGAATTTGGGTTCCAAGCCAACATACTGAGGAGGAAGTGGCATAAGCATTAGCAGGCTGTGTTGCCAGGACGCCTCAACGGGATGCAAGTGTTGACATGTGATGCAACCCTGGACGATCTCAGCTCTGCATTGGTGTATAAAAGAAAAATCTACACTGAGAATCCTCATTACCATATGAATGAGTGTCAACAGGAATGTATGGCACACAGCAAAAGATTCCCTCTGAAGGGGGAACCCAAAACTTTGTACACACAACAAAGTGTTGTCTGTATGGAGGAGAAAACTAGCTGGTGTATGTCTTGCACTTATCAAAAGAGGAGCTTCTATGAAGCAAAAAGGAATTCCGGAAATAAAAGAAAAAGCCTATGGGAAAGTGGATCAAGTGTTTTGTGTTTTGAGGAGAAAATGATTCAGTCATTCAGAAGATTTAGACGTGGATGTAATTGGGTTTACTGTCAGGCTCACGTGGCACAGGTTCACACCAACATCCAGGAAATCAGCTTTTTTCTTTCTAAGTTTGCATTCCTTTCAGCACCTCAGACAAACCCATATCGCTCCTCCCCATCCACCTCTCCCTCTCTCTTTCTCTTTTAATTTTCTCACACAGACGTGCACCCTTGTATTATGTGCTCTGGCCATCTGTTACCTTCAGGTCAGGGGTGTGAGTTTTCCGTGCCCTGAACACATCATCGTCTTCATGCCATCACGGCACAGGGAGCCCGACTGTGTTAGCTCCGTTATGGAAATTTTAATGGACAGAGTCTGTTTTGCTTTGCACTGTGTTTGTAGGTGCTTGTGATGGTATAACAAAGGAATAATAAAGGAGCTCTTTAATTATTTTACTGGACATATACTACTTGGCATAAATTAAAATGTTCACTCTTTAACAATTCTTCCCCATATTTCTGTAAACAAAAACCTTGGGCTGCAAGCTGCAATGATAAATACAAATCAATCTACAGATTACTTTCTCGATTAATTAATAGTTGTTTGATCTTAAAAATTATGAAGTTTTCAGATTGCTTGATGTGTCCAAACCCCCAAATTTTCTCACATAATTTACTCACATAAGACAAAGAAAAACAGCAAATCCTCAACACTGAGAAGCTGGAACTAGATAATGTTTTACATTTTTGCTTGAAAAAAAAAAGACTATTAATCAAAATTGTCAAAATTAATTTCCTGACGATTGATTAATAGATTAATCAACTAATCGTTTTAGCTCTACGAACAGAAGTTCATTCACTCTTTATTGTTAAATTTTTAAGCGCGTAAAACTAATTTATTTTTAAATCTCTTAAATGTTCGTCTTTCCCTTCTAGCTATTGTTTTTAGAAGATGTCTTTTTAATTGAGTATTTCAGTGAACGTGGGATGACATGGCTTTTAGTGTAAAAACACCTCCCCCTTGCTAACTATATATTGTATTTTAGAGATTGTTTTTAAGAAAACCAGGCTCAGGGATTCAATTACCTGTTTTTCACCAGACTGAATCAGCAGCACAATAATAGTCTGCTAGAATCATTCATTTTACATCAAAAGCCATCTGTTATGGGGAAATACTGACATGCTGATGTGAGATGCTGAGAGGAGCTACAGAGTTTTTGTGATGGTTTGATATTCGACACCAGTGGATATGGCTGAAATGTCACTTATTAGGTCAAAGCAGTGTCCTGCTGTTGCTCTGTGTTACACTTCAGAAGGAGTGTGACAGTGGAGGGAGACGGCGGTGAGGCTGTAAATCTGGAGCTGTGGTCTGGAATGCTGCTCATGTCAGAACACGCTTCCTCTTCCAGTTATGAAAGACCCCTTAAAGAAGATGGTATGCTGACAACAACTCCATGCACAACCATCTCACCTCTCTCCAGTCTCGTGTTACAAGATCGAGCGTTGGCGGCAGAGTGCAGTTTTTGGATCCGTCTTGGTCTTGAAAATGTTTCCCCTCTCTCCCAAAAAAATTCTCCCCCAACACATATCCTCATGATCCTTTTGTCCTACAACTTATTTCATTCTTCCCCATCCTCAAGTGAGGATTGTTGCTTTCTAGCTTTATTTGTTGTATTTATGTCTGCCTCTAAGTGCCTTTAAATCCAGTGTCTTTTTAATTTTAGTTACCCTCATTTAAAAAGACTGAAAATAAATTTCTAGTGAAATCTTATCTAGTGAAAAGAGTCTTGAGAGAGATTTGGATGTATATTGGTCTTAAAAGTCTAGAAAGATCTTTTGTAAACTAGTCTACAAGCCTAGTTTACAAAAATATCCAATTATTATTGTAATGCACTTTTCTGTCGGTTTCCCCTCATGTATGTTTAAGTAAAAACACTGCTTGTAGACAGACTTTATAGGAACAGCTGAAAACAAACCATAGCAGATTATTATAGCCTATGCATTAATCAGTATATCATCTGAAACATGCTGTATGTTTCCCCTTCACTCAGCAGTCGGTACATGCTAAATCTACTGAGCTCCAGGCCCTCAAACACAGCATCAGCCTTAATCCGGGCTAATGCAAACACGGTGCTGCCAGCTCAGGTCATACAAACACGTTTCTGGCAGGAAACCTTCCTTAACTTAAATAGAGCAGAAAGGAAGAAATACTTAAAGTTGTGCTTTTTTTTAATGGAAATGAAACAGATGACAAAGGCACTGTGGTGGGTTGTGTTTATGTAGTTCAAGCTGTTTGCTTTTTTGGAGATTAAGAATACCTTTAAAAGTGGCCCCTGTTCTTGCCACTGAAAGCCGTTTTATATATTCAGCAGTGCCTTATATATAATTAGCTGGAACACAGAGGAATGGCATCCCTAACAGACTCAATTTCATCCCACTTTATATCATACTTGTCATATTTTTTAAGTGGGGGGAAAAATCAAGCAGCAAGTAGAGAAATAAAGTTCAAGACTTGTTTTGTTGTGGTGAGAGGGACTCTAAAGTTGGGGTTTATGGGATTTTGAGTCACTGGAGATGGCAAGAATTATTGCGAGTCAACAATTGCTTTCTAAAGTTGCCTTGTAGATCACAGGAAAGCTGAGAGAGGCTGGTTGACTTCCAGGGAAAAGTAAATCCCAGTGAAGCCCTCTGTTCTCTCTATGCCGCTCTCAGGGTTTTGTCAATAAAAGCAACCAAGCAAAAAAAAAAACAGCCTTAGTCTCAATCGACTGAGTAGAAGTTATGTAATTAGAAACCATGTGATGTATTAATGTACTCACTTCTTCTCTTGCACTGCTCTGGATTAATAATACAGAAAAAAAAACGGCTGTGGTTTATTCCGATTCATTCACACTTTTTAATAGCACAGTCACACACGCACATAGTGGATGCCCTGTGTTAGATTTCAATTTCCTAAAGTAAAAATATTCCCAAGTGTATAATTTGGTGGATGTTGGACTGGCGTGCATGAAAATGCGAGGAGAGGAGAAGTTGTCATTATAGCATGTGGAGGGGCTCGTCTGGGAGCTGCTGAGGATCAAAACAGTCTTTTTACACAAGCCTGCTGTACATGTTAGAGCAAGACCCTGCCCTCAGCACCTCTCTCTCTCTCTCTCTCTCTCTCTCTCTGTCACACACACTCACACACACACAGATGCAGGGTGAGTGACAGGATCTTATTGCAGGTGTAAATTGAGGCGGTGAGGTGTGTGTGTTGTTCATTAAAGCAGAGTGAATCTCTATTGGTTTTCATTAAGGGGCCTGACCACACCGACTAGATGCTTAATCTAGACAGCTACGCTCCTCCGCTCACCCCCCATCTCTATTTCACTATCGCACAAACACACAAATAACACACACTTTCAACATCTCATCCCACACACAAACACACACAGAGTGACAAAACCAGATTCTTATTTATTAAGCAGAGGTGACAGGTACTGAATAAGTTGTTTTCTGAAACAGTGTGTGTGTGTGTGTGTGTGTGTGTGTGTGTGTGTTAAGTCCAGGAATAAAAGTATTAAGAATTTGTGTGTGCTCCTGCATGTGTTTCTGTGTAATAACATGTGTATGCATTTGCTTGTGTACCACTGTCCGTAGATATACATTCACATGGTGTATTTTCTCCACGTGTGTGTGTGTGTGTGTGTGTGTGTGAGAGAGAGAGAGAGCATGTGTGNNCACACACACACACACATATGCTAAGAAGTTGTTTTTCTCTGGCTGCATCTGCTCATCAGCGCAAAATGAAAGCATGTCAGATGATCTGCAAAGGGGCTTTTTTGATTTCTAGGAAAACAAATACTATCTGGAAAAAAAACATCCATAAAGACCTCAACGCACTCAATGTCATGCAGGGACTCTTTTTAAAGCTTTCTTTGGAACATTAAGGGACCACGTCACTGTCTCTATTATTTGTCCTTTTTCACTGCACATATCGCTACCGGCTGTACTTATCGTCCCCTTACACACACACACACACACACACACACACACACCCTCCCCTCTCTCTCTCAGCTGTTAATCTCTAATCAGACCCTGTAGATTATTGAGCATGTGTGTTGGTAGAAATGTTGCTTTTTTATAAAGCTGGATGGTCTACTTTGGTCAATTTTCTCATGATTTTACTCTTTGTGATGTCCAAAGGTTTCTTAATCTTATTATTTTATACTTAAAAATTTTAGTTTTCTTTTAATATAATTTTTTCTTTTATTTACAGCCTAGCAGTATTTTAAAAACGGTGCAAACGTGTGTTAAATCTACGGCAATTATCCTTCACCAACACGCACTCTGACAGCTGAGATTTGACAGAGTTAGGGTAAAAAATGTATTGGCCACCCCAGTTTGGTGTCAAATTCTGTGATATTTAACACGTTCATTTAGATTATTATTATTTTTTTATTGTTATTAATTTCTATTCAATGCTTTAATAATATTCCTCAATAATGTAATGTTTTTGAGTTCAAATATTTTCTTCCACCCCTTACAGTTTCCATGTAATTTTCTTGTGACCCCATGAATATTTCTCTAGATCTGGTTTGGTTTGGTGCAGATTTTGGTCAAAATCAGCTCTAGTTAGCAGCACACAGCTTTGGACCAGAGATGGCTCACTGAATTGATCTAAGTAGGCTCGAGCTGATTCTTCACTGCAAGTCTGGGGTGAATCTGGCAACCAGTCTTGACAGATTTAGGCCACCATTGCACCAGATTGTAATTGTATATGTACTGAGTGTTCAGACTGAACCCAGAGTGAATTTTAGAGGTTGTGCGATTGCATACAAAGACCTGTTTTCTACCTGAGCAGTGATCTGACGTGAAGACGCATCCATGTGGGCTGAAAATGAAACTTAACTGAAAAATTCCCATAAATAAATGGTCTTATTTTTTTCCCCCTTGGTAAGTGACCAGGGTATAAGCAGGATAATGACCTTTGAGGTGTCAATAGACTCCGCTGTGCTTTGGACGGTTCTGGCTTCTCCCTCTTCCAAGAATTCTGATAATGGTAAATGGACCTGTACTTGTATAGCGCCTTTCTAGTCTTCCAACCACACTACATGCCACATTCACCCTTTCACACTTTTATGCAGTGATGGCAAAGCCCATCAAACAGAAACTAACTCATTCATACACATGTGCACATTCACACACCAATGCACAGCATCGGGAGCAATTCGGGGTTCAGTATCTTGCTCAGGGATACTTCGACATG